TTTTATATCCAGAATTTCACTTGAATACAGCCACTGGAAATGTTTATTTTGAGTTTTTAAAAATATCGGGTTTTTCTTGGTTTTTCTCGCACGCGCCTGCCACACGCTAAAATTGGCGAATAAGAAGTACCCTTAGCCCGATGCACGTGCAAATCATGCTGCAGATGTAATTTGACCTTTAGAATCGATTTCCGACGTTTCCCGAGCGCTAGGATGTAAACACGCGATGTTTTGGCGAATTTAAATCGCATTTCCGGTCAAAAAATATCCCGCTGAGTTCGCTAATATCGCAACAGATTGAAATATCGAAATAAAAGACGAAGAACTGAGGCTACAAGCATCAAAATAACACTGTAAATAGTGTTTTTGATTGTGAATCGAACAAGACTACAACCAAAAATACATGTTTGAAGGGGCCGAAGTTGTGTCTGGCAAAAGGTATGGCTTTAGTGATAAATTGTTTACATTTTTCGAACAAATATGTAATTTGTTGAAATATGATACGTCTTGACCCTTCAAAGGTCATAAATCGCTATAATGTTTGTCTTTGACTAAAACTTTCATTATGAATCAGGAAATATTATTTCGCTGAATTGAATGGTAGTATTTTCATCTACGTAGCATGTACTGAACCGAAGATATGAACCTCCAAAATACTATTGCAGTTGTGCAAAATCGCATTTCCGGTCAAAAAATATCCCGTTGACTTCACTAACATCGCAACAGAATGAAATATCGAAATAAAAGACGAAAACCCGAGGCTACAAGCCTCAAAATAACACTGTAAATAGTGTTTTTGATTGTGAATCAAACAAGACTACAATGAAAAACACATGTTCGAAGGGGCCAAAGTTGTGTCCAGCGAAAGGCATGGTTTTAGTGCTACATTGTTTATATTTTTAGAACAAATATGTAATTTGTTGAAATATGATACCTCTCGACCCTTCAAAGGTCATAAATCGCTATAATATTTGTGTTTGACTAACACTATCACTAGGAATCAGGAGATATTATTTCGCTGAATCGAATGGTGGTATTTTCATCTACGTAGCATGTACTGAACCGAAGATATGAACCTCCAAAATACTATTGCACATCTGCAATAGTTTTCACAGGGCCGGTCGAAAAGGAGTTAAGTAAACAATATTTTAAAAATATGCTGTCAACATCATCTGACATTGTCACCTGACAACATTCGTTATTAACATTCAGCAAAACTTGAAATTGGCCTGATTAATTGTTGTGTGTAAACTAAGCTTATACATAACACTTTTTGTTTGTGGAAACACCACGTAAATTTATTTCTTAATTGTTTCCAGAAACAAAAAGTGTTATATATTTTTATCACCATGCAATCATACAAAGAACTTATTAAAGCTTATACAGTTATTTCATTTTGATACATGTGACTTTCATTCATACCAGGAAACCAGAGAATTTTTGAAGCCTCATGAGATGAAGATAACAGGTGAACATAAACCAAGCATTACAGTACCTTTACTTGTGTTCAGTGATGAAACTAGTGGAAATACAACAAAAAAATGGAATTGTCTGGAAAACGTTTCGATGAGCTTTGCAGGCCTTTCACGAAGGGAAATCAGGAAAATAGAGAACATCCATTTTCTGTCCACATCAAATGTTGTGCCATCTGTTCCACTTGGAAAATCTATCACCAGTGACCTACAAGGTACATAATGCAGTAGCCTTATAGAATTGTACTATTCATGTCCAGTTGACTTTACACATTTCAATATATTCTAACTTTCTTCTAGACTCATGGGGACCTTATTGGCATTATTTGAAATATAGTGTTTCCAGCTTTAAAAAATGTGTTTACGAAATTAATATGAATGTAATGAAGAGTAAATTGAATTGAGTGGAGTGCGATTTTAGTCTGAAAACTTGTGATTTCAGACCTAATAATACACACAAAGAAATTTCTCAATAGACCTTTTTAAAAAGTCTGCCTTATGACATAGTTTGCAGATAAATACGATCATTTGGCCAATCAGGCAAGCCAAATGGCTGTGCGGGGTTTCCATTATCTGCAAACTATGTCACAATTAAGGCTGACTTTTTAATTAAAAAGGTCTATTCTGATTGGCTAAGAGCAGTGTAATTTTTTAGTAATACAGAGCCAAAAAATTAAATCCTCTATTTTATGTGATAATAGTACATATGATGTTTATAGGAATTATAGCAAAACAAGTCAACCTGTATGTGCTTGATCAGAGAATTAAAGGGGATTGTGTGTTATCAATTCATGAAATACTGCAGTAACATTACCTCATGAATTATTGAATTCTAAATTACTACCTTTCAGAAATTGGAACTGGCAAGATAATGTATGATGATACGAATGATTAGAATGTTCTTGTGAGGTGCGCTGTCTTGAGTGTCTTGGCAGACAATCCACAAGCTTCAGAATTCGAGTATCACTTGGGTAGCTGTGCAAAAAAATTTTGCCGAAAATGTAATGTGAGTGGACATGTACAGTAAAACATTATTTTCATAAATTAGATTTCTCACACACTGCTGGCAGCTGCTAACATGTACAGTAAAACATTAATTTTCATAAATTAGATTTTTAATATTTAAATAAAGTACAGTACAGCATTTTTTCACACAGGCAACAAGTGACAGTGGAACTGAAATTGGAACAATACGAACAAATGAGTTTGTCCAGGAAACGATTCGCAAGATTGAAGAATGCAAGTATGTAAAACTTTTATGGAATAATATTCAGTATAATATATCATTTATAGACCCTCCACTGTGGGAATTTGTCAAAATACTATCCTATTCCTCCGTGATGAAAAATCATCACTTTGGGTAATATTTCGTCGAATCCCCCTCACTCCACATCTATAAATGATAAACATCAAGTCTTTCGAAGACATGGATCAAGTGAACAACAGTAGCAGATCACTTCTTATAATAAAGTCTGAAATGCATAGTTAATTAAACAACCCAAAATCGTTGAATATATTACAACAGTACTGAAAACCAAAAGAAACAATTACTGCAAAGAGAATATGGTGTGACAGAGAAAGGTGGTGCATTTGATGCCCTGACATGTTTCTGTGGACAACAGTTAGTATCAAATTACAGTTATTCAATATATCAAGGGGACCCAATACCATACAGTTTGAGAGAAATAATCTCTAATTTTGCTATTTTTTATATTATACAGTAAAACACCCATTGAAATCCTACATACCACACTAGGTATTGAAAAAGATTGCAAAGGAAAGTGGATGTGAGGCAATTTCACAATGGATCAAGCCATGCACCAACCATTTGTTTTGGAGTGTGACAACAACATTCAGTGGGCATGGATTGGTAATGTTAGCAAAATTCAAGTCATTTTTCAGCCACATTATAAACCGTCACAGTGAACTTCCTGATCAACTTTTTACCAAGTGTGCACATGATTCAAATATCCAAGATCGGAAATGGCTTGATGAGGGTTAGTCAATATAATGTTAAAAGAAAGGATAGAAGTGTCTATATTACTAACTTCACCGAAAGAATATTTTGCTTTCCCAAAACCTTGTCTAGTACCGGTTATGTCTATGGACATCACATTCTACTTAGCAACTTATGCTGTATTTTTTTTCCTTTTAGATTCCATTGCCTACATCAAGATGCATGCAGCGTTGACTAAGCGAAGTTTGGTAGCTGGAATAAAAAAGGCTTCTCCACTAGAGCAGACTAGTTGCCTTAAAGGCTTTCATTCGGTATTGAATCAGGGTGCTGAGCGACGATCTTGAGTGGGTGGTCATCCTCACTTATCTCGAAAATATGGCAAGCAAGATTTCAATTTTAAAAGACATATATTTGGAAAATCGTTTCATATTATACAACAAGCTTGAAGCAATTTTGTTTGAAGAAATGAGAAGAATTGGTTTACTACGGGAAATCAGGAAATATACGGCAAGTTTGCTTTGAATATTTTTAAAATGTTTACGAATTTTGTTGCTTTAACTTTTTACGTAATAAAAAACATGAACTATAGAAGCTCTAAGTTTCATAAATTACTGTTTAATTTGAGAAAAAATCTTAAAATGTAAAGGCGAAAAAATTTATTTGAAGACTGAACTGAAATTACCTAACAATTTTATTTTATTTGTATTAAACTTATCATGTTTTGTTAGGTAAAAACAGTTTATCGGCAAAATGTAGGTTTACTTGAATGAACATTTCAAAAATTTTACGAAGCGTTTCAAGTTAAATTTGACATTAAATCAAAGCTCACAAAATGCAAAATAATATACCTACAGTATGTATTTCGGAAATTTATTGTATTCAACTATTCAGGATTATTATCATTTTTAAACTACTGTAATATCCAAATAGGACGATTTTCTGGAATCTATACCACCTCCAGCACTGTTAATAGAAATTAAGCAACAACCAGTCACCAATGTTTATGGAAATATTCTATATGAGTTGTGCAACTTGTACTGCATCGACATATTCTCTGGAGAATCTACACCCTCTGCAAGATCTGACCTTGCCAAATTTCAATTTTTGTAGACTATGTTGAAGAGATATACCAGACAACCCTATGTGCTATTAGAGATAATACATTGAATAAAGCAGAAAAAGATCTGAACTTGATGACTCCTTTGCCAATGAACAGCATGCTAAACAAGCAGTCAAAGGATGAGGCAATCCAGAAACACAGTGCCAGAAAGGCCATGACAACCATTGATGTACCTCCTACTAATCCAGGTACAGTATGTGTGACAATTAAAACTATCTTCAGTTAGACTAAAATAATCTGACATCAGACAATGTCAGTATATGAATAAAATAGGCATATTGCTGTGACAATTTTCACTGTAAAGTTAGCCATTGTTCCAACCATATTTGGAACGTTCAGTATGTGTACCCCAAATTTCTTTTAACAGAAACTCATTGCATAGATACATAATAGAATATAAATAAATATTGTTTTAATTATAACTACATCAACTCTATATTCTTTTTTAAGAGTTTGACTTTGATTTCATAAATAGTCTTAATCAAGTGCTCCTGCCATTTCAAATATTTAAGGATGAGTGTCAGGGTCATGCATTGCAGGCTTTTATTATTGTAATAAAAATATCTTGTTTGGTTCATTTAAAAAAAAAATTACGTAAGCATTCAGAGCAGGGATTCATAAAGAATGGTTTAAATAAATGACGGATTAAAAAGACATTTCCCGATCAGCAGTCCTAGTCGGCCCATGAAATGGATACCAGCAGGAAAGGAATTTGCACCCGCAATACACGACCCTGACACTCATCCCTTTAATTAAACATATTAAACTATTTGGCTCCTTCTATTTTGTACTTTAGTACAAGAAGCTCCAGTCAGTCAGAATCAAACAACAGAGCAAAACCACACTGTTCCATTTGTAAACAACCCATGAAAGGTCATAAAAATGTTGCTAATTGCCCAAAAAGCCAAAAGAAACTGCAAGGGCTAAGCACTCCTATTGCCTGTATGGACAGAACTGATTAATATACATGTGCTTACAAACATTGTATTAGCAATAATTTAAACTTTTTATATTTCATCTTCCTCATATCCAACAAAGTTATCATCAACCACTTTAAAGGTTGTACGGATGGCATGGTATGCACTAGTCTCCTATGCAGACCTACTTTAGCGGTTTGGGCCTGCCACATACGGTCTGCTTACTTTGGCTAGCAATTCGCCTTCCCATTGTATTCCATTAGCCAATAGCATTCAAATACACTAGACACGCCCACTTTGAATGTCAACTGTAAAGTGTAAACAAGGAGCGTGCGATAATCGAATAATAAGATATACGTATTTAAATGGCCATAAATGTGAACAGATCGAGGTTTCTGATCAATAGTAGTCGAAGTAGAAAATATTGAATATTTTTCCAACGAATGTACGCGATAGGTCGAAGGCTTAAATGTATATAAAACTATTCACTGGCAATACTTGTTTTTAACTTGACGCGACTGACGGCATGTATATTCAATATATACTATAAGTTTCCGAACATTCAATATCAGAGCGACTTTTGTAATTACGATTTTATTAAACTTTATAAACTGGCTAGTCATATAAAAACTTGGAAACCGAAATATGCAATGAATCAATTCAGTATTTTATATAGACTGAATTCTGTAATCTTCAATTAGTATTTATAAATCTATTATATACACCCACAGTAATGTACACTGTAACTTTATAACTTTGTCTTGACGTCTTTGTCCAGTATATTATCTGTGTTACAGTAACACCTGCAAACACTTGTAAAGTATTAATCAAAACATCGCGAAATATTTTAGGTGATATTGTTCGATTTTACTACACTGTCTGTTCAAAACAATAACTCAACAAATTCTAACAGATTTTAAAATTGTTCCATATTGTAAATTTGTAGACTGCTATATGTATAACAAATATATCTCTCGGCTCTCGCAGATAATCGGTTTAAGATATGAATACGTACAAATGAAGATATGAAATGTTCAAGATTGAATGTTTTGAAACTTTTGACGACCCAAGCCTCAAGGTCAAAGGTCAAGCCCCACAATTTTCGTGGGTAAAGCTGTGATTGGCTAATTTTGAGGAAAGGAATTCTTGGCCAAAGTAAGCATACCTTACGCGAGGGCACAGTGAAGCAGGTAAAGGGATTCTTTTGTCACGAATAGCACCATGCACCATTCTTGTAAACTGTCTATTTGAGACACTACGAAGAAACATGTGCAAGTAAAAAAGTACTAAGTAAACTGAATGCACTTTATAAGTATCAAATATAGATATCAGTCAGTACCAATTGTATCAATGTCCCCCTTTTAGACCAGTTCCACCAGGATTGGGTAGATTATACATTTTTCTAGCTCAGCGTAGCAAGTGTATGGGTGGATCACACTTATATTACTTTGGCTATGTCCCAAAAGCCATATGCATTTCACAGTTAGCAATGAAAATGCATTCAATCTTATAATAAAAGGTATGGTTTAGAGACTCAATCTAAGAACAATACAACTCATGTATGTTTTTGTCCTGGTCTATCCAAAAATTTGGTCCTTTCCCTGAGAACGTTTCTCATCACATGACATTGTGTATTGTGATTTTACCCAACTCACTAGAAGCAATGTTTTGGCCTGGTTATTCATGTGTAACGTGAAAGATTGGTTAGTTTATGAAAGATCGTTATTAGTTGATATGACAAAAATACAGTACAATACACACTAGATGAGCAAAGACCAAATTCTTTCATAATTACCTATTCTTACAAAGATAATGAGTTCCAATTCAGTCATCATGTTTTCTATTAACTTTGATCTTATAATGCCTTTCTTCAGAACCAGTTTTCTGAAAACTTCCTTTCTTGGCGTGTTTTGAACAAACCATCTGACAAATGTAGACCCCAAGCATTTAAGCAAACTGCAGCAAAAGCTGGGTGACCTGTAATGCATATTGGTTCTTCACCAACAGTTTGTATAACATTTTCTTCCTGTAAAGCAGCCAGGCATCCTTTAACTTCCTTGCAACACTTACATTCCTTTGCATTTTTCAATAAACTTGTGTTACAGCTAGTTCCCACATTTACACCTACATGAACAGCAAGTATTTCTAGTATTTACATAAGACACAACACATGTTTTAGGAATTTAGCCTGCGTAGAATGGTTTGTCTTCGACACCTTTCTTAAATGACGTCACAAGGTGGCTCATTCCAGGCCCCTAAGTTTGTCCGACTTTTTCTGCAAATGGCTATGTTTAAAGGCATATATCTTCCAAACGAAAAGGGTAATTGAAAAGCTGTAAAATCATTTATAAGCTAATTTTTCATGCTCTATTGAAATATCAAATAAAAAATTAAGTCGTATAGGCACTTTAAAGGAATTAAAAATAGGATCTAAAATTTTAGTTGTAGTTCATAAGATAAAAATAGGTGTCAACAAAGTGAATTTTATCCAAAATATCTCAAAATGCTCCGGTTTGTACAAAGTATCCTCCTCTTTATCACCTTCTTCAAGCCATGCAACATCTTTCTTTGCTTTTTGTTGTCATCCCTTTGCCTTAAAATCTGCTTTTGCAAAAATTGTAAAAAATATTCTCTTGTAAAAATTACTCCCCTGGTTCCAAGTTTACTTCTTTGAAAATGCAGCATCCTCATCACCAATATTAAAGTGTGCCACAGCATCATAGACACCTAGCTCCAGAACATCAAATCCAATAAATATATTCTTCGGAATCCTGTTCCAAATCATGTCATTTTAATATTGACTCATTTTGGTTTTGCGTTTTTCCATCCAGGCACTTGCTCAAGAGATCCCAATACTGGGTTTCAAATGAATGATCGACAGTCTGCTTCTTATATAAATAATTTTTTTTCAAATTTAACTAAGAGTTTACCTAACTAAGATTTTACCCAAAAGTGAATGAAAACTGGTTGGAACTTCAGTGTACAGAAAATCTACCTCTAATTACTGTCGATCAGGTGCAACAACAACTGTGTAAAATCAATAGTAACAAAGCACCTGTTCCATATGATCTATTTGCAAAGTATTGGGATATACCTTGGGATATACCTTATACCTGGAAATCTTTAATGAATCTTTTCAATCAAAAATTTCTCCCAAAATCTGGAAAAAGTATAAGGTATCTGGCATTCCAAAATCTGTACCATGTACGCTTGCTGAGGACCTAAGACCAATTGCCCTAACTAGTGTCCTGGCAAATGTCCAACGTTCATCGACAATTAATGCCTTACTTAATTTATGCCACTCATGTAAGTGGCATAAATCAATGGATGAAATGCACAGGGTGATTAAGATAGTTTTTCACGACTTCCGCAAGGTCTTTGACCCCATAGACCATAACAAACTGTTAGAAGATATGTGGGAAGTGGTTGTGAAATCTGCTGTCATCAGATGGTTTGTTTCATACTTGGATGAGAGATCTCATTTCACACAATTTGGAAAGAAGCATCTGATTTTGTGAATGTTCTTGGAGGTGTTCTGTAAGGTAGTAAATTGTTACAGGATCAAAGACAATAGGTGAGGCATTCTCATATTCTGTGTGCAAGCTCATATAGTTGTCATAGCTGCTTTCTTTCAATGGCTGTTTAACTTTGTTGTATATTACCTATGAAAGGATGCCTGCAACAGGTCGATTAAAGTGAAAGAAAATTGAGCCTAAATGTTCTTAAATCAGAAGCAACTCTCCACGAAGAAAAACGAATTGGAACAAATTGTCCTCACTCATGTCGGAGAATACAAGATAAGAAAATGTGTCACAGTAAGTTTCAAATTATACTTTCTCTGTTAAATGTTTACTTGGACCAAATTAAGTGATCTCATCAGTCTTAAGTTGTAAGGAAAATTCAAAGTAAATAAGAGTCGGCCGACTAAATAGTAATGGTTTGAGTCGGTGCTATAATGAAAAATGGTAAGTTATACTTATAGTGTCTGATTGCTCATAGTTAATAGAAATAATAAACATGGTTAGGAAGGCCGGCAAACTTCAAAGGCTTAGCGCTGCGATGTTGACAGGGTACTTCCGGTTGTAATCGGAGTGCACAGCTTGCAAAACAATGAGTGTCAGATGACATGTAGCCACTATGGGTTTTGGGTTATTCGACACTTAAGTGAGGAAACATACAGTTTGAATTGTGCAAATCTTGAAAAAAATGGACTCTGGTAGCGAAAAAGAAAGTGTTTTAGACGTTGGGGAAGAACAGTTATTTGAAGAGGACTTAGAAGTTGACGAATTTGCAGAAACATTGAAGCTAATCGAATCGAACGCCGAAGAAATTGACCAGCAATTGTTGGACGCGATCAGCGAGATTGGTGGTAATATTGTTCAAATGCTACTATATTCCATTTTGCCACATGGTTATATCATGGTTTGTTTCTTGTATAAATATAGGTAGAAGGAGCGAAGTACTTTCAATGTCCAGACTGCCCAAAAGTTTGCAAGTCAAAGGGTGGTTTAACTAGGCATCGTCGAAGCAAACATCCTGATAAAGAAGAGCAAACAATGGCTACTATAAACATTCCACCTATAAACATGGAGATTATAGCAAAAATCATTGCTGAAACTGTCGAGAAACTGCGAGAAGAAAACATTTATGCAAAGGAAATTCTCGACATTATATCCAAATTGAAGCCCAGTGAATCCTTTCTCAAGTTCATAATCAAGGTTTTTCGTTTGTTCTGCAGAAAGCTCAACCAGGATAGGATGCTGGCATTGTTTTATGGCGAAATAATCAAAGATTGGAGGGTGTACTTTCCGCCTTGTGACAATCAAAAGGCTATAAATGTTTTGCTAATTCACCTCCCGCAAAAGTTGGTTGTCTATCAACAAACTTGCAAGCAACAAGCAACGTGATGATCAGGTAAGGTGTACTGTCAATGTTATTTATTAATATATGATG